ATATGCAGCAGCAGGCGACACAGGGGAGCAATAGATATCTTCCACTCATACAAATCCACAAGAGTAGATGGATTTTTCCAACTCTATTACAGGTAGATCATATAGAGATTTTACCGACTTTAGCGATGCGAATTTGGAAAAGAAAAAAGTGACATAATACTGAAAGGAGTATTGATATCAACGCTTAAAAACGAAATATATGCTTATTATAGAAGGAACACAAAATATGAAATAAATATTGTCAATAATTATAATATGATTTACGTTTTTTCTCGTAATAATATTTACGTATTTTTTTTTCTAAATAGTCCAATAAGCAATCAAACATACCATATTAAATAGTAGATCTTACGAAGACAAAATAATACTCACCTCTTGTGTGAAATCCGTCTCTATTAGCGTAGTGGTCATCTGCTCAGTTGCCGCTTTATGAATCGCTTGATACGCCGACGTAGTCAACACTAACAGTTCGTGCCACTTATGCGTCAAAAGTCTCGTATGCACTTCCACCGGCAATTCCAAGTAAAACGGCAGTCTCTTCGTCCATTGCACCAATTTATACACGATCGAATCACCGATATTACACAGCTTTTCACTCAAATCCGTGTTGTGGTCGAGGAGTTCATCGAGATTTTGCAACGTCGCGATATCTTGGAATTCATCACAGTCTATAAGAGTTTTTATCATCGACAACGAGTATTCGACGGAAAAATTTCGATCTCGCGATGAAGAAACCGCACTGTCCAGACGCTGCCTTAGGCGGATGACTTCACTGGGGTTCGTTAAAGCTGTCTTGAGGATCGTGCCGTTGACTAGGTTGGAGGGAATACTTGGCGGCGGCTCGGTCTTGAATTGCTGGCCGATTAGGTTCTTGTCCAGAGGTTTGGACTGCTGTTTCGCTGAAGGTTTCTTGTGCTTCTTGTACTTCACTTTGTAGAGATTGTATACGGCACCGCTATTACGCCCTCCTGGCATTCTGTCCTCTCTTACGGCTAAGACAAATTAATATTTATGAATAGTTTCTTGCTTCTTTTATGACAAAATGAGATGGAACAATCAAGAAAAATAGCAAATAGAGTAGAGTGTAAAGTAAAGTACTTGAAGAATTGGGAAGAGCTCAATTAAATAATTCATAAATAAAAGAGCAAAATAAATTTAAAGCAAAACTTATTTTCGAAATAAAATTTAAATGTAAAACAAAATGTTAACCTGAGGATTTGATGTACGTAATAGGCCATTGTTGATCTTTTTAAACAATTCTTTAGAAGAGGATTAGAAAACGTGTATATTAATTTATTTTGATATTTTAATTCGTTGCGAATTTCCAAAAACATTTGAAATATGATTGGTCAGAGAAAGATAGGGAGCGGAAAGAGATTTAAAGGAGGTGCATTTGTCTATTAGGAGGAAGCCAGTATGTATTTATTTACCATATGAGGAATTCTACAAAAATTCGCACCTAACTGGAGCCAAATATGGTGATATTGCAATTTTCTGCCCGTACCCCGCAGTAACAATTTTTTTCTGTAGGTTGATAACAAAAAACATGTTTTCAGGTGCGAGCCTCAAAAAAAAGGCAAATTTAAGTTTTTTCCAACAAAAAACTGATTTGTTCGCTAAAGCTATTTCATTCTTCTAGCGATCTGCCTCGAAAAACGAGTAAAAGAGACTTCTATACTTGGAGCACACGTACATATCAGGTACCAATCGCTTCGTCTTGGTCTCCAGAAGGAACTCTGACCCTTTGAAGAGCCAAGAAACACCTGCTCAAAGCGTGGCAAGCGGTTATTCAGCGATTTTAGCGGAAAATCAAGTTAAAATGACTTCCGTGTTGTTTTTTGAATCGAGCAGAGCATACACAAAACGTTTTATCAACTCAAGTTTTATGTAAAATAGAATCGCCAGAACTAACTAAATTTAGAAATAAAATAATGTACAATATCAGTGAAAATCAGAAAAAAATGATTGAAAATAATGTAAAAAATAATATAATTATATGATATATTTGGTATAATTTATATAATTAATATAATTTCTTTTTGAATCTAAACCAGTATTAAAATTTTATTTATTTCATATTATTCGAGCTTTAATATTTATTGTTTCTGTTAAACACAAGATTATTTAATATTATATGCCAAGTTCTTTTTTATAGTGTTTAATTAATGAAGAATAAATATATTTATACCATTGTTAAATAGTATCTATCAATAATAAAAAAATAGAATATTTTTGATGAATTGTATTCTATGTATTTATTTTTTTTTACTTGACTAACTTTTATCTCGTTCTAATACTCATACTAACAAAAAAAAAGTTGTTATAAAAAAAAAGGAGAAAAAAAAAATGGAATCGTATTTTCTTACTAAAAACCATGGACGTATAAACATAGATGGACACAGCAATAAGATACCTTTAACACACAATGTTTTGAAGCTTCGATAGAATGTGATGCTTCCGCAATGAGCATAAGCGTGCTTGAATTATTACTCGCGGGTAATTATTCAGATTTTAAAAATTGGAAGTAGTATAATGTATAAAAACACGTTCAAAGAATTAAAGAAAAACGAGAGTTTAACTATTAACAAATCAAGAAATTAAAATACAATTTTATTTGCTTTAAAATTAATACAATTAAATATAGTTGAATCAAGTTAATTTTTTAATAGGTATTAAAATATGCTACAATAAAAATTTTTTATGTTTTTCACGAAAAACATTAAGATAGAACAAATAGTTCGATTGTCAATATTTTTGGAAACCTACATAGAAAAATAAATGAGTTTTATTCATTTCACTAATTTATTTGTATCCATGAGAAATATTAAATTAAAAAGGTACTAAACAGATCTTTTTTAATCAGATGATCCTACTAATTTCATGAACTCATATCTTATTCAATACATTAATGAACATAAATAAACCCAATGGTACGCCTATTAAAATGTAAACAAACACGCTTCCTCATTTCCTCATCTATCATCTAAATAATGTAAATTGTATGTACTTACAAATGAAATGAGAGATCGGGGTGTAAATATTTCGTTTATTTTATTTCACTTTTCACAAATATCACTCAGAAATACAGCCAAAATATCAAAAAACAACTTTTCCTCATCTACTGTAAAAAGTAAACAAACATGGAACAGCATTTGAAGTTTGACGTAGATCCATAAGACAGAGAAATGTAAACAACCGTTGCCATTTATAAATAGTTTTCAGTGCTTCTACATATAAAATAATTGATTGATATCTATTACACGCTCTTATTAAATGATAATGCACACTATGTGCATACTTGATATTTTGATTACAGTTATAATATAACCAATAAATTATTATTTTGGTTTGATAGCACCTGTAGAGTATAAAATACGGAGTAATATTTTCAGCGACTCGCGAATAAGAAATTTTAAAACAAAACGTGACAACAGTTGAAGGTGCTGAGAATGTGACCTATTCAAATAATTTTGACTACACAATTTTATGTAAATAACTGAGTCCATCTGTGTTTATACGTCCATGCTAAAAACACAATAAATTAATGTGTGAAGGTTTTCAGCTTATATTATAATTTACTATCTATAATTTGATGAGTGTATCAGGCTACATACTGAGGATCAAGTCACCAGCTCCCGATAGGTTGATGTACCTCACTTATGCAAGTCATTTTAACTTGATTTTCCGGTAAAATCCCGAAAAAATGAAAAAAAAAACGTCGATTTTAGGGACTGAATAACCGCTTGCCACGCTTTGTGAGACAGGTGTTTTCTTGGCTCTTCAAAGGGTCAGAATTCATTCTGGGGATCCAAGACGAAGTGATTGGTACCTAATATGTACGTGTGCTCCAACTATACAGGTCTCTTTTAATCTATTTTCGGATAAAATCGCGAAAAAATGAAAAAAAAAAAAACGTCGATTTTAGGGACTGAATAACCGTTTGCCACGCTTTGAGCAGTTTTTTGGTTCTTCAAAGGGTCAGAGTTCATTCTGGGACCAAGACGAAGCGATTGGTACCTGATATGTACGTGTGCTCCAAGTATAGAAGTCTCTTTCACTCGTTTTTCGAGGCAGATCGCTAGAAGAATGAAATAGCTTTAGCGAACAAATCAGTTTTTTGTTGGAAAAAACTTAAATTTGCCTTTTTTTAGGCTCGCACCTGAAAACATGTTTTTTGGTATCAACCTACAGAAAAAAAATGTTACTGCGGGGTACGGGCAGCAAATTGCAATATCACCATATTTGGCTCCAGTTAAGGTGCGAATTTTTGTAGAATTCCTCATATAGAGAAAGCAGGTACTATTCTTTGGTAGTATCTAAAGTTCTAACTCAAATTATTCAGTTTCCATAACCCACTTCAATTACATGAAAATTTTTGTACAGGAAAATTAGAATACAATGGATGACATTTAATGTTGCTTAAGAAACTAATTATAACTCACCTTGTAACACCATTCCCTGTTCTATACACTTCTTAAACCTGCAGTATTGACACCTATTTCTCTGCGTCTTGGTAATCTCACAATTCCCATCTGCTACGCATGTATAGACCCTCCTATTTTGTACAGTCCTCTTGAAAAATCCCTTACAGCCTTCGCAAGTAATAATTCCATAATGTAACCCTGTAGCTTTATCCTCACAAATCATACAAATCATCGGCTGCTCTTCTTCTTCTTGCTGCTCGTGGTGTTCACCCGGTGTTGGTTCAGCTATGCCTAGAGTTGGTTTAAGATCGCCTTGTCCATAGATTAAAGGCACACCTGGGGGAGGCGATGTGAGATTAAGCGCTTGCGTTTGCTGGCTTACTGGTAACTGTCGTATGTCACCCGCCCAAAGTCGTTCCATATTGAGCGGAGACGTGGTAAATTGAGATGTGGGTGAAGGTGATGGTATTAAGTTTCGACTAACGGGTCTCAGTCGGTCTTGACCTAAATTAAGAAGAAGCTGAGCTGCACTTTCATCAGTATTACTAACTTGTGGCCAGTTTGACGTCGTAGGATGTATCTGAGGATCGCCTACCGGAGAAGTAGATAGGGTGGGTTGAGACCAAATCATCGTTCGAACCCCTCCAGCCTCCCCCATAATCACAGTAGGAGTCTGTCGTACTGGCATAGTGGTACCAGCTCGACCCATCGGACTTCCAGGAGGTTTAAGGTCCACCGGAGATCCAGGAAAGTTGCCTCCTATTAATTCAGGTTTAACTCCAAAATTTCCTCCTAATAACTCAGGCTTAACTCCAAAATTTGCTCCTAATAAGTCAGGCTTTACTGCAAAATTGCCTCCTATTAATTCAGGCTTAACTCCGTTTATTCTAGAATGTTTTAGCCACAATTGCGGATTTTGATTAATGTTAGGAGCTTGTTGATTAATGATCACTCCTCTAGACTGTATGGATGGTGATGATATGGGTATATTTGATGGTGATATAACTGGTATTGATGAGGTGGGTTCTTGAGTTAATATTGTGAGTGGTCTGGGGCTGACCGATGGTTGTAGCAGAAGTGGCGTGTGCCTTATTACAGGACTTGCTCGAGGACTGAGGTTGGCTGGTCGTCCTGGTGAACTGTGCGGTCGAGGGGGTTGTGAGGGGCTGAAAGGCGGCTGCGGTCGAACGGGCGGGCTGTGGGATCTTATCACTGGAATAGACCTAGAACAAAACACTTGTAGAGTGCTGAACAATAGTCATTTAAAGATAAATTACGTACAAATAGTTAAATAGTCTTAAAACTTGACAATAATTATACAAATTTCAAATGCAGATTTCGGCATAGAGTTTAAAAATCATTAAATTTTTTAAATAGTCTTGGAAAAAATATATACTAGTTGCAATATTTCGCCGGGGTCGATAAAAAACAACTTTTTTTGTTAAATACATCCAATTTTACATACCAACAAAACAAGTATCAAGCTGAAATGCACAACTTGCTTTTTGTATGCACAACACTGTGCCAGGCACGGAAGTCTCCTATACCCAATTCCTAGCTACAAAATTAAAAATAGCATATAATGTTCCTCTATCTAAAACTCAGTTCTACTGGCCATATTCCTATCATAAACCTATCATTTTAATAGAAACAAGGATTTTTGTGAGAACTGTAATCAACAACGAGAAGAAGAGTAGGAAGAACTGATAAAATAATCGTTGCAGCAAAATAATAATCCCAAACAGCAGCATTTCCGAATAAAAATTTATAGCATTTTTTTAAGCAACGAAACTGAGCAGGAAACACCCTGCATTGATTGTTTAAGGTACTTTAAAGAAGCTTAATACATTTATGTTATTGATTATAGATACAATGCGACAAAAAATATAATTTGAAAAACATATTTACATCAAGAATCCCTAAAAAGGTTTACAAATAAATGTAAGCGTAACAAATAATTGCAGAATACTTGCGATCAATTTCGGCATATAGTGAACAGAAGAAATTTAATTTTGATCTATGCAGTGCAATGGTGGACTCTAATATCCTACTAAATAAATTGCAAAATGAAAGTTTTAAATCATTTTTGGAAAAGTACTGCCAAAGACATCTACCGGATGAAAGATCATCCGGAATCATGATTGATCATAAAAAGTATCAAGCAGAGAAAGCTGGAATATTTCAGACATGTAATGAGGGGTCCCAAATATAGGTTGCTACAAAATATCTTCTTCTTCTTCAGATGCAAATCCACTAATGGATGTTAGCGATCACATTTTCCATTAATTCTCTATTTCTTGCAATATGTATCAGAGATTGTATGTCGTTAATCCCTGTCCATTGCCTTATGTTTCGGAGCCAGGACATTTTCTTGCGTCCCATTCCTCTCTTGCCTTCAATTTTACCCTCGATTATAAGTTGGAGGAACTGGTATTTTTCATTTCGCATGATGTGACCTAGATACGCCGTTTTCCTTTTCTTGATGGTTTCGAAAAGTTGGCGTTCTTGGTTTATTCTTTAAGGACATCTATATTTGTGATTTTCGCTGTCCATGGTATTTTTAGGAACGGCGATAGAGCCACATTTCGAAAGCTTCTAATCTGTTTATATCCCTCGTTTTGAGTGTCCAGCCCTCTACGCCATATAGCAGCACTGACCACACGTAGCACTTAGTAAACCTTAGTCTCAGTTGAAGATCGAACTCTGAACAAGTCAGTACCTTCTTGAATTTTACGAAAGCTTGTCGAGCTTGCTCAATGCGACATTTTACTTCCCTGTCCGATGCCCAGTCTTCAAAAAGCCACGATCCCAGGTATTTAAATTTACTCACTCTTTCAATGGACTTAGTATTCAGTGTTATGGTGGAGTTTTCAAGTGCATCCAAGTTTCTGGAGATGATCATAAATTTGGTTTTTTTGGTATTAATCTCTAATCCCATTCGCTTACTGTATTCTCCGATTATAGTGACAAGTTGTTGAAGATCGACTATGTTGTCACAAATTAAGACACCATCATCAGCATATCGTATGTTGTTGATCAATACTCCATTCACTTTGATTCCCATCTTTGCATCCTCCAAAGACTCTTGAAATATGGCTTCCGAATAAATGTTAAATAAAAGAGGGGAAAGCACACATCCCTGTCGAACGCCCCTTCTTATATGTATGGGTTTGGATATAGAATTGTCTATTTTTAACTGTGCCGTTTGATGCCAGTACAAGTTTTCAATGCATCTTATGTCTTTTTGGTCTATATCAACTTTCTTGAGGATCTGCATTAACTTTTGGTGTTGGACACGATCAAACGCTTTTTGGTAATCCAAAAAGCATAGGAACACATCCTTCTTCTGATCGTAACAATTTTGGACCAGCACCTGTGTTGCTACTATTGCTTCTCGTGTTCCTAAACCTTGCCTAAACCCGAACTGGGAGTCACTGATGTCCCATTCACATTTTTGTGTATAATCTTTGATGTAGTATTTTTAAGAATATCTTTAAAGTGTGACTCATCAGGCTAATGAGTCTGTGATCCTCACATCTTTTTGCATTGACTTTCTTGGGCAGGGGAATAAAGGTAGAGCGTAACCACTGTTGAGGATCAACAGTAGAAAATATCATGGAAAATAGCAGGCAAACGCAGTCCAGGACGAAGAAGAACCTCATGGTTGAAGAACTTGCGAGATTGGTATGGTGTTGATACAAGCATGCTATTTAGGGTGGCAGTGAATAAATTAAGATAGCTATGATGGTAACCAACGTTCTGAAAGGACATGGTACATGAAGAAGAAGAAGAATGAAAGAAGTCTGCGAAAAAATAATGTTAATTACGTTTACAAGGAATTCACAAAAAAAGTAAAAAGACTAATAGAGAATAATATAATCTAGTTTGTTGTGGATGAGACTACAAATATTTGTGGAAGATACTTCACTAACTTATTCATAGGCGATCCAAAAAATCAACAGTTTTAAAAAAAAGAGGAAGTTATCCCTGGAAAAATCCAAAGATTTTTCTATAGAAAGCAAAAACTACAGATAGTACTAAGTAATAAAACTCAAAGATGTATAAAGAATTTTAATGGGAATAACCCACAATTGAAGTTTAAAATAAGTTTATTGATGTTTTAATTTCCACAATTTTTCTGACGGATATTCTCAAGTTAAAAGTTGATTTCATGTAATCAAATGAACTATCTTACAATAAAGTCGTCCCAGGAACGCAACTCAGCTATATTGGTAATACCATTTTCAAGTCGTCTACTTTAAAATGTATAATATGTGTTGAAGTGTAAATATAAATGAACCAGATAAAATTAAACTATTAGAAGAATTTTCATCAAGTAACAAAAAAACAAAAATTTGTTATAATATAAACTTATTTTAAACTTCAAACGTGGCTTATTCCCATTAAAATAGTAATTGCTTTGTAACTTAGCAATATTTATGATATTAATTAAAAACGAAACTGACCTGATGACGCTAGCAGTTCCACCACCACCTCCGTCGAACACTCCCGACTCCTCCAGTCTGTTGGGCGTCTTCTCCAGCGTGGGCTCGGGCGGATGGAGTTGAATCGGCGTAGAATCTGGACTCGGCGGGTTGAGTAATGCGTCGGTCATCTTCGGCGACGATGGGCTCAGAAGATCAGGAGACGAAGTACTCGTATCGGCGACAGATTCGCCTAGAAGCGGACAGAGACATTGCCTAGAAGCAAAGTTTGCTGATGGCTGCCTACTCTAGGTTGTTGTAACAAAGCGGATGTGGTGAGTGGGGGGATAGGTAAGTGCTGATAGTGATCGTGATTAAAGTATGCAAAAACATCTAAGGATGGTGGTCAAATCAGGATGTGGACGTATGCGGGTTATGTATATGAAGATGAAGGTGAATGCAAGCGATGAAACGTATTTTTTTCTCCTTTTCTGTGGCTTTGGTTACGAAATTTAGCACGTTATAGGTAATTTATTTATACTAATAATATATTACACAATTCCACCAAATTTGTTATTTTACATGTCACATTATCCTTGTTTTGTCCATTGTGCTCAAGATAGAGCTTCTTCTTTTTCTTCTCAGCTTTAAGTAATCCAACTTTGGACATAGGCCTCCCCCAAATCAATCCAGTGTCTTCTATTTTGCACCACTTGCTTCCAGATTTTCCTCGATCTTCTTAATATCATCCGCCCATCTCATTTGTGGTCTTTCTTTGCTTCTGTTTCCTAACCATGGCCTCCATTGTTGTATTTCGTGGTTTCATCTCTTATCCTTCAGTCGCACATTGTGTCTTGCGAGGCTCCATTTTAATTTGGCAGCATGTTCTCCTGCGTCTTTTACTTTGGTTTTGCTTCTAATCCATTTGTTTGTTTTTGTGTCTATAAGTCTCACCCTAGCATTGATCTTTCCATCGCTTTTTGTGCTTTTACTATTTTATCCATATTAGACTTGGTGAGTGTTCACGTCTGTGAACCATACGCAAGTATAGGGAGGATACACTGATCGTAAATTCTGGTTTTCGAATATTGTTCTATTTTAGTGCTTTTTAACATCCAACTCAATATTCCAAATCCTGCCCACGCTAAACTTATTCTTCTGGTAATTTCGGCAGTTTGATTTTCTTTGTTAACTTTCATTATCTGACCCAGGTAGATGTATTCGTTTACTGTTTCTAAATATATGATCTATGTGCTTCTACGCTTCCCTATCTTTTGCAATTCTCATCCACTGTTTTCCAGCTACAGCTGTTATATCGTCTATCCATCTCTTTTTGGGTCTTCCTACGCTTTTTTTGTTTTTCTCTAATTTTCGGTGTATCTGTCATTATTTTTGTTTTTTTCAAGTTCATTTTAAGACCTACTTTTCCTGAAGCTTGAAATAGTTGCGTCATCATGGTCTGTAGTTCTTCAAAACTTGTAGCGAATATTACAATGTCATCAGCGTATCTCAAAAGACTCAGTTTTTTTCCATTAACATTTATTCCTTTATCTGCCCAGTTAATGTCTTTAAACACGTCTTCCAGTCCAAGTGTGAATAGCTTTGGTGATATAACATCTCCCTAGGGAACTCCTCTGTTGATTGGTATAGCTTTGGTTTCGCATCTATTTGTATTTTGATTGTAGCCTTCTTGTAAATATTATGTATGAGTATTCTGTATCGGGAGTCTATCCTGCAGTTGTTAATAGCTTTCACTATTGCCCAAAGTTCTTCGGAGTCGAATGCCTTTTCATAATCAA